CTCCTGGAGCATGGCCGGAACTGGTCGGCCATCGCCCGCATGGTGGGCTCCAAGACGGTGAGCCAGTGTAAGAACTTCTACTTCAACTACAAGAAGCGGCAGAACCTGGACGAGATCCTGCAGCAGCACAAGCTGAAGATGGTGAGCCCTCCCCCTGCCCCCCCCACCCCCCCGTAGACATCCCTTTCTCCGGGGACGGGACAGGCAGGCGAGCCCGCGGTGCCAGGCCCCCACCTCCACCCCAGCACCCGTCTCGTCTCACACACGCTGGGGGCCTGGAGGCCGCGGACTCACTGGGATTGGGGGCTGTCAGCGCAATGGAGTGGGGACCCCGGGGTAGACGAACACCCGTGACTGTCTTCCTCTCCCCATCGGGCTTCGCAGTCTCAGGGCCGCCCCGGGGAGGGAAGGGCAGGTCGGGGAGCAGCCGCCCGGTCCTGGCCTCTGTGGTCCATCCTGAGGGGAGGCCGAGGCCCTCCCTCCCTCCCCCAGGAGCGCAGAAGGGGCGGGCACGCCTCTCAGCGTAAATGCTCTCCCGAGAGGAGAGGCCGCTTCCTCCACAGCTGTTCCTGGAAGAGAGGCCATTCCGGGCGGCCCTGCTCGCTCGCTCGCTCTCTTCCCCTCCCTCCCTCCCTCCCTCTCTTCCCATCTGTCTCCCCATCTCCCCTCTCCCCCCAGTTTGGCCAGGCAGCCAGCTTTTCAGATGTGGGGAAACTGAGGCTTAGCCAGGCTTGGGTTTGAACCCAAGGACCCAAGCTCTTGGCCAGCAGGCCGCATCGGGGGGCGTACAGCCCTCTACCCCCCAGCGCACCCCCATGGGCCCCTGTTGTGGTTTAAAGTTCACAAAGCCTGTCGAGTGGCCTAGAGAGGGTGTGCGGGCTGCGGAGGCTGCACAGCACGAGGTGGGCCAGGGGGAGCGTCTCGCCCTTTAAGCTCTGGTTGAGCATGTGCAGGGGTTAAGGGCACCACGTCCCGGCCGCCCTGAGTGTTCTGGGGGACCCTGTCCATGCCCCTGTGGTCAGGGCTGAGGCCGGCCCCTGCCTGCGCCCCGTTCCCCACCACGCCCACCTGCTATTCAGGGGGGTCCCGTGCCCCTCGGGCCTCGTGCGCCCACAGCTCTGCGTCTTCCCGGATTTCCCAGGACGCCTTTCCAGGGGGAAGGGAGAAGCTCAGGGCGGGGAGGGCACCGTGCACACCTGCCCCGACACCTGCTCAAACCCCAACACCTGCTGAAACCCCGTGGGTCCGAGAGGAGCCGAGCCCAGGCAGCAGAAGGGCGGAGGGCAGGGAGGGGGGGGCCTGGAGGGGTTCCGAGCATCACCAGCTCCGATTTGGGGGGATTCTGAGCATCACCCGGCACAAAGTGATGCCGTCTATTCCCTCCGACCACCTTCCTCCCTCCCCCCTCGCCCCTCCCCCTCCCCATGCCCTGCCCAGCCCAGGCCACT